TGTGTGTGTGTGTGTGTGTGTGTGTGTGTGTGTGTGTGTGTGTGTGTGTGTGTGTGTGTTAAAAATAGATATATAATTTTTGAGTCTGGAATGATTGAGTCTGTCCTCTGCACCTCCATAACTGTCTGGTTTGGCTCTGCAACCCAACAAGACAGACGGAGACTTCAGAGGATAATCAGAACTGCAGAAAAAGCCATGGCTACCAACTTGCCTTCCATTGAGGATTTGCACACTGCAGGAGTCAAAAAGAGGGTCGTGAAAATATCTACAGACCCTTCGCATCCTGGACATCAATTGTTTCAACTCCTACCCTCAAAACGACGCTATAGGGCACACTGCACACCACAACAACTAGACACAAGGAGTTTTTCCCCAATGCCCTCACTCTGCTAAACAACCAATTCCCTCAACACTATCAAATTATCTACTAAGACTGTATTACTATTATTATTATTATTATTATCTTCTTTCCTAGTACTTCTCTCTCCCCACTTATGACTATAACCATGTTGCTTGTATCTTTTAACATTTATACTGTCTTATTTGTTTCCTAGTACAATTTGATTGGTTATTAGTAACCTATGACTATCACTAAGTGTTGTCCTACGATTCTTGAAGAATGGGTTCTATTTTGTTTTTCTTTATGTACAGAGAGAGCAGATGCACCAAAGACAAATTCCTTGTGTGTCCAATCACACTTGGCCAACGAGGAATTCCATTCTATAAAGAATTGTAATTTATTCTACTTAAGATCTCTGTAAAACATGCACACAGCAAATAGAACTAAGATGTAATTCATGGAAGATCAGTCAGTGCTAATCAAGTTATCCTCTTTGCAAAAGGTCCTTGGTGCTCTCTGAGCTTGGTTGTTTTCTTGCACTGATGATGTTACCTAGTTGGGTCGTGAAATGTCTGCAAGAAAAGCACCAAGCTCAGAGGGCACCAAGGACCTCACAACTCTCCTCCTCCTCCTAGCACTGATGATGTTACTTAGTTGGGTCATGAAACGTCGGTAAGGAAACCACCCGGCTCAGAGAGCACCAAGGTCCTCACAACCCTCCTCCTTCTCCTTCTAGCACTGATGAGGTTACCTAGTTGGGTTTTGAAACGTCTGCAAGAAAACCACCAAGCTCAGAGAGCACCAAGGACCCCACAATTCTCCCCTCCTCTTCCTCCCCCTCCTCTATTCTGCAAATCCTATTCCCTTCTAGCACTGATGATGTTACTTAGTTGGTAAAGAAACGCCTGCAAGAAAACCATCCAGCTCAGAGAGCACCAAGGACCTCACAACTCTCCTCCTCCTCCTTCTAACACTGATGATGTTACTTAGTTGGGTCATGAAACGTCGGTAAGAAAACCACCAAGCTCAGAGAGCACCAAGGACCCCACAATTCTCCTCCTCCTCCTTCCCCCTTCCAGCACTGATGTTTCCTAGTTGGGTCATGAAACGCCCACAAGGAAAACCACCAAACTCAGAGAGCACCAAGGACCCCCTCATCTCAACACTGACCTACATTCTTTCTTGCTTTCCTCTGTACCCATAAGTCCCCAGCTGCCACGTGGCTAGCTGAGCATTTACCCAGGAGGCTTAGGGACCACTGCCTCCCATCTTGCCATTTACCCACAACCCCCTGGGGCCACGGTTGAAGCAGAACGGCCTTTACCTGGGCAAAATAGAGGTTCATGAGGGTCAGGGTGAAGAACTGGAGGCAAACGGGGCAGCAGTACAAGAGCCAGAAGAAGAAGGGATGCAGGTGGTTGGCCTTGAGCGTGTTCCGGAAGTAGAAGGAGAAGAGCGTGGTGCGCAGGGCGGCCCAGAAGAGGCAGAGGAAGAGGAAGACGGTTTGGTAGCTGAACTTTTTGTGACGGTAAAGGAGCACCAGCCAGAGCTGGGCGTAAACCGAGAAGAAGAGCAAGGCGTACAACGTCGTGTACAGCGTCGTCAGGCCCAACTTGACGGCGGGAGGGAAGGCCGGCGTGAGCCGCGAAGCCGGCACGATGGAGCTGAGGTTGCTCACGGCTTTCTCCATCTTCCCCGGCTAGGAAGCAGCAGCAGCCATCATGCCCACCCCCTCCCACCAGACTGCAGAGAGAGAGAAAGAGAGAGAGAGAGGAGGGAGGGAGGGGGTGTCACACCACCACCACCGCAGCCCCCCTCTCTTGCCACCCCCCCGAAACCGAGGGCGTGTTACATCCTTCGGGGAGGTGGGGGGGGCGACCCCTCCAGCGGCAGAGTCAAAGGAGGGCCGGCCATTCCATGGGAGATCCTGAGTGGATGGGTGAGGGGGGGGGAAGCAACTGAGAGTCAGATATCTGTCTGGATCTCCTCGTGGGGCGTGAAGAAGGAGCAGCCGCCCCACCCTTTCGATCCGGTGCTGGAGCTTTGCAGGAGCTGCAAAGGAAAGAGACAAGAAGTTGGGGTGCTTTTCAAGCTGCCCCCCCCAAATGCCTTTCTCCCTGCCGCCCCTCCCTCGGAGGGGAAGGTTCTGGGATTCTCACCCTGCAGGCCTAGAATCCTGGACAATCCTCCCTACTCACGGCCTTCCACTGTCTGGGTCCCTTAAAGCCCCCCCCCATTCTCCAACGTACCCCCCCCCACCCCTGTTGCCCTGCCGCCCCCCTTTCATTCCCAGTTCTCAGAGGTCTGGGACACCCCCCTCCCATCCTCCTTTCTCCCCCCCCCCCCCTCTACTTCGGTCCCTCCTCTACACCCGCCCCTCACCTCACGCCAAACCATCTCC